TCTCCGCCTTGACTAAGTGCTTGATTTTGTGGCTAATTAAATATCAAATAAAAAACCCCTTATTCTTGTTTAGCTCAGGCAGATTAAGCTATGTCAGGTGTATAGGTTAGCTTAATTTTCTCAAGCATACCTGTTCTGGATAAGTGAATAATCTTACAGCTCCCCTAATAACTCCCCGATAACAGATTGGTAAATCTGTGTTTAATCTAGATTTACTCTCAAATTTTGTTACCCAATCAGACATTTTTATAATAATCTAACATTTTTGTATTAGTATTAGTAGACATTTATATTTTTTATAAATACATTTATAGAATCAAATCACATTTTTTTTTGTCAAATTGTTAATTTCAGAGTAATCTCACTACTCTGGCAAGTTATCTGGAGTGTCGTAAATTAATCTCAAGTGTTATATATCGCTCTAGATTTACCAAACGAAAATGGCAGAAGAAATCTCCAGTGTCTACATTTAATTCCATCCTATGTTTAACACGTTTTTACGTTTCCTACTATATTTAATTTTTCAGCTGATTACTTAGAACACAACTAAATTAGTCTTTATAACAGTTAAAAGTTATAACAGTTTAAAGTTATAATAGTTTTAGCTTTTAGTTGGTTGCAGTTCAACTGGGTCACTGCGTGCAAATTTTAGCGCAAGTCTATTTTATTAAGCGCAGCTGTAGAATTTTACTCATTCACAGCGAAATAATATTATTTCAAATTTTAAATTTGCTCCTGGCATATGACAATAAAACTTTTAATAAAATATGAGTTTCCTCATTAGTTAAAACTACTAACGTATCTATTTCCAACAAAAACAAAGCACATAATTAAATGTTAATTTTAAATATATTTTTGAGCTGAAATAAAGTTTATAAAACATAAAAAAAACTTCTCTCATTTAATTAGCAACAATATTTGCTGCCACAATAAATTAATTAACTGAATAAACTTCATTTTGCACTTTTTCCCCCACTGCACATTTTTACCCTTTGACAAAAACAAATGAAAAACACAAATGCAAAGAAAACAAGGAAAAATATATAAACACATGACAACCAAACACAAAGCAAAAAAGTCAAATTAACTAACAAAATCCAATCTGAAGAAAGTAAACACAAAGTTTTTAATGTAATTTTAAGTGGCATAAGCCAAAAAGCTACAACCAAAAACTAACAAGCAAATACATGCACATGCATGCACTTCGTACACAAAACAAAAACAAAAACCAAAATAAAAAGGAAAAGCATTCATACGTAAATAAGTAAAATTTTAACAACAGACGTAACATACTTAGAAAAATGTAAAGCAAACTGCAGAAAACATTAATTTTGAAAAAATACATTTTGAAAAACAACAACATTGGCAGCGACTAACAGCAACTACTCTACTACTGTTACTACTCAGCGTAGGGCAGAATATATGCATTAACATTAATAAAACATAATATGACAAAAACATACATAAAAACACGAGCAAAATCCAATTGCGTTTGCAACAACAACAACTACGCTAACAACAACAACAACTACACTAATAAGAATAACAATAAGCAACAAACAATATGAACACGATAGCTTTCATATAAACTTGCCGAGATATGCTAACACAAATAATGTATGGCAGGCAAAAAACTAGTGTGGAATTTTGTGCAATAACGTGCAAAAGCAACTAAAAAAGCAGTATTAACTAAACAACAAAAGCAAAAGACTAAAAGCAACAAATAAAATGTTAAAACCGCAGCAACTTAAATTCAAACAATTGTACTTGTTTTGTGTAAGTGAAAAAAATACTAAGTGCAATATAACAACAAAAACAAAATATTAATTTGAAAAAAACTTATAAAGCAAAAACTAAAAAGGTAACACAAAAACAACAACAACAACCACAACCAAAATGAGAAAGAAATGCAAAAACAAAATAAGTGCAAAAAGTAAATGTAAAAACAGCAATGCAAAAAAAAAGAGACAAAGAAAAAAGTTAAAATAGTTAAAAATGAGCAACAGCTTGTTGCGCTAACGCAGCAGTAAGCAACAAAAAGGCACACCAACCAGCAGCCAGTGAAGAAAATAATACGTACAATAATATTTAATACTAGTACAGACAACATAGAACAACAACAATACAAACAACAAAAGCAGTGAAAAGTTTTTTTGTTTTTATGAGTAACAGACTACGTAGTACAACAAACAAATGTATAGTTGTTATTGTTGTATTGTTGTTGCCTCAATTCATGTAAAGCTTATGCTATACAAATGAGGGTGGTGGGTGCTATGAAGTTGGAATTGGTATAAAAATTGCAATAAAAGCGCGCATAAAGTTATAGTGAGCAGCAAACATTGTAGAATGTTGATGACGATGATGATGATAATAACGGCAAAGGCGATGATAACGATGACTATGACGAAGAAAAAGAATGGCAACGATAATGATGATTATGTCGCCTCGTGTCAAGTTGTTGCTTTTTAGCCAGTACTGCGCTGTTGACTAAGTGTATAAATAGTATTTTTGTTGCTGTTAAACTTAAGTACGAATTGCATGAGTTTTGGAGCAGTTGCAATTATTTTGTTTTATTTTTTTCTGTTTCTTTTTACAAAAAAATACCATTGGATGCTCTGTTGATGTGCATGTAATTAACAGAGAGAAACTGTAATGCATAACATGTAACATATTTAATGTTAAATAAAAATACATTCATTATGGTAACAAAAGTTTGTGTGTGTGTACGTGTGTGATGGAAGAGCATTTAAATTTTAATTAATTATTAAATATAGTTATTAATAATTAAATGATTTTAACTAGAACCGTTTAATAAAGCTAAGTAATTTAGAGAAGAGGGATTAAAGTATGATTAAATGAATGTTGCAGTAAATTATATGGATCTACAGCGAGTTAATACTTAAGGCAACCTTATAGTGAATTAATAATATCTAAAGCTATCAAATTGCAGGTGATTTAGGGCTAAAACTAATTGCAAGTAAGACTGAGGCATTATGGTTTATATACACCCAAAGAAACCCACTGAAATGTGATAATAATTTCAGTTATTTTAATTTTTTTTATTTAATGAAAAAATGTTAAGTTTGCTTCTACATTATTTTAAATATTATAAAGTAATAAAAATAAAAAATTTTTTGTTTTATTTTTATTTATTACAAAAATATAAATAAGTTTGCTGTTACAAATATTAAATTTTTAATTAAGTCTTAACTTTATAGGTAGAATTTGAAAAATTAATTGAAATTAAATTCATTGGTGAATTTTTTTCAAGTTTATGAAAAAATTATTTTAATGAAATTCTTTAAAAAAATATTTAACAAAATTATGTTAACAATTTTTGTAACATTTTTTTTAACTTTTTGTTAAATTCTTTTTTGTTAAAATTTTTGCCATAAACTATTTTTAAAATTTTTTCCATAAACTATTTTTCAAAATTTTTTAAAATATTACTAAACGAAATTGTTAAAAATATTTGTAAAAATTCTTTTCAATAGCTAAGTTTATGCAGAAATTATTTTTCAAAATTATATTAACAATTTTTGCAAATTCTTATTTTTCAATAAACAAATTTATTTAACATTTTTCTAATTATCATTTATTTAGATTAAACATTTAAATGGCACTCTTATAGTTTAAGCCAAAATTTATATAAATATCAATTCAAATTTTATTTTCTAAAATATTATAACACGTAAATTTTAGTTCAAATTCATTGGCAACTTCCGCAACACCACAAACTGCATTCATAAATGCAAAATGATGACTGCACTGGGTTTGCTTGTTGCAAACCCAGTTTGTATGTAACTTCTTTACATTTTCATTTTTATGAGCTCACTAGCTCACTGCTTACTCGCTAATCCCAACTCCCTTACAAAAAACAATAACAACAAATCCCAAACAGTAGTGTAAGTAGAGTAGTTAGCCTGTTGAGTGCTGGAGCTGTGCCATGTAAAAAAATCTAAAGCAAAAGTTTGTATGTGCGTTTGGCTACAATTGCATATTGCTGCATGCAAACCCAAGCTGCTGTTATACTCACGCACACAAATACTAAATGTAAAATAATTTCGCTCTTGCACATTTACTATACTATACGTGTGTAAAAGAGAATTTACATTAATAAATGACCGGCCGGTTTGTAAATTTTTGTTTTTGCCTTACATGCCTTCCATGCCTAACATGAAATGAAATTTTTGTTTTGTATAAAATGTTTTACATGGTTTGGTGTTTTGTTGTTGGTGTTGTTGTTGTTGTGACTTTGTGTAGTTGAACTGCCGCACATTGAGAAGTAACAATAAAGCAAACAACAAACAAATTGACACACTGACATACACTCTTGCATGTGTGCAATTGCATTTTATTTTACATTTCCCCTCATTTTATTTTTCTTAACTCATTTTATACTTGTATGCAGCAAGTATGAAAGATTTTGTGGCAAGTTGTGGCAGAATTATGCATGTTTGCATTGATATGGTTATGTTGTACGCTTGCTTGTGCTGTGTTTATTAGTTTGACAATAATGATGTTATATGTCCAGCTGAGCATAATGCATGCACGTATGAGTGGAGTGTATTTTTTGGAGAGCATGAGAGCAAAATCACATGTATGCTATATGTACGTATACGTACGTGACAGTGGCTGCTGTAATATTAAGTATCACACACAATCCTACACACGTACACACAAACACACAACGTATGTATGAAAATATAAAAAAGAGTTTTTCTTTATGCCAGTTAAATGTGTGTTTTGTTTTTGTTGCTGTTGGTTTCATAGCTGTCGTGTTGTCGTAGTCATCGTCGTCGTCGTCGTACAATTCTTGTTGTATATGCGTCGTCGTGGTTGTTGTTGTTGTTGCTGCTGTTATTTTGTGAGTCGTTCACTGTTGCTGTTACGAGTGTGTATGTGTGCGGTGTGCTTGCTTGCTTGCATTGCAAGAACAGTAAAAAATATTTCTATGCGAGTCAATGGAGTCGCAACTAGCAAACTTTATAATCAGTTCGAGTTGAAACGTTAAGCGGTAAACATGTTTTAGAAAAATAGCTCTTGCGTTAAACGTTCAGATACAAGTTAAGTCAAGTCAAGACAAGTAATGTTAATGTTAAAGTAAAAATTTGTGACTTGTATTAAAAAAAAAAAATCTGTTCTAAGACTTATTTGCCGCGTATGAGAATTTAACTTAAAATAAAACAAAAAAAATTATTTAATAAATTAAATAATAAAAATAAGAAATCGCTTAGTCTTGCAACGTAAACGCTTACCAAAAACAAGGATTACGGGTTTTCGGTCTACAACGGCAACAAGCGATTTCCATCATTAACAGTGACTTTTTGTCCAAAGTGTGAAAATGATAACAAGAAAATATTAAGAAATTTTAAAAATCCCAAAAAATAAATATTAAATATCTTAAAATGTGCATTGTAGCATTTGAAAATTGTATAAAATTGTGAAATTAAGAAAAACAAAAAAATTAGAAGCACCTCACAAAACACTTTCAACAGGACGTCTCAGTCCACACACCAAAAATTTTACTAAACACCAATAGTGCAAAAAAAAAATCTTCAAGAATTCTAATCAAAATGCGTGCTTCAACGGTGCAACTTGTGTTAATCGTTTTGTGCTGCTGGCTCAGTAGCGCTTGCGCCCAGTGCTCCTGGGAGTTCTTGCGCACCACCATGGACATAAGGTGTAATTTGCGTGCCATCGAGTCTACCGCGCCGCTCGACTTGCAAGTAGCCGAAACCGCAAATCGCTTAGAGATACAATGCATGAGCGATTTGCTCTACGCGAGTGAGTTGCCCGCGAACTCCTTCGCGCGTCTACAGAAACTCTCTCAACTGCATTTGGACTCGTGCAAAATGCAACGTGTGTCCGCAAACGCTTTCGAGGGTCTAATGTCATTGAAAAGCTTGTCGCTGCAAACGCACAACTCGGTCTGGGGTCCAGGAAAGACGCTAGAAATTTTGCCCACCTCGTTTTACGGTTTGCGTGAGTTGAACGAATTGAACTTGGCCGACAATAATATCCGTCAGTTACCAGAAGGTGTTTGGTGCTCTATGCAGAATTTGCAAGTCTTGAATTTAACATCGAATCGTATACGTGCAGCTGAAAATCTGGGTTTCTCAGAGAAAATGTGTTCACTGAATGGCGCCAGTGGTGGTGCTGAGTTGCAAGTGTTGGATGTATCGTTCAATGAATTGCGTGCGTTGCCCGATGTTTGGGGTGCATCACGTTTACGTCGTCTTCAGCAGCTCAGTTTACAACATAATAATATCAGCACTTTTGCGGCTAATGCGCTGGCCGGTTTGAGCTCATTGCGCGTACTCAACTTGTCATATAATCACCTAGAAACTCTACCTGCAGAAGCATTTGCTGGCAATAAAGAACTACGTGAGATACACTTGCAAGGCAATGAGTTGTACGATCTACCAAAAGGTTTGTTTCATCGTCTAGAACAACTATTAGTGCTGGATTTAAGTGGTAATCAATTAACAAGTCATCATGTGGATAATAATACATTTGCTGGGCTAATACGACTGATTGTGTTGAATTTGGCTAACAATGCTTTGACACGTATTGGTGCCAAAACCTTTAAAGAGTTGTATTTTCTACAAATACTCGATATGCGCAATAATTCTATTGGTCATATTGAAGACGGAGCGTTCCTGCCATTGTACAATTTACACACTCTTAATTTAGCTGAAAATCGTTTACACACATTGGACAACAAAATCTTCAATGGTCTTTTCGTTCTAACCAAACTGACACTAAATAACAATTTAATTAGCAATGTCGAGACGCAAGCGTTCCGTAACTGCTCCGATTTAAAAGAGCTTGATTTGAGCTCGAATCAATTAGCTGATGTACCTGAAGCTGTGCAAGATTTAAGTATGCTGAAAACGCTCGATTTAGGTGAGAATCAAATTTCCGAGTTCAAAAATGGCACATTCAAGAATCTTAGTCAATTAACTGGTCTACGCCTCATTGACAATCGTATTGGCAATATAACAATTGGCATGTTCAGTGATTTACCACGCCTGAGCGTACTCAATTTGGCCAAAAATCGTATACAAGCCATTGAACGTGGCGCCTTCGACAAAAATTCCGAAATAGAAGCCATACGTTTAGATAAAAATTTTCTCACTGACATTAATGGCATTTTTGCTACATTAGCTTCGTTACTCTGGTTAAATCTGTCCGAAAATCATCTCGTTTGGTTCGATTATGCCTTCATACCTTCAAATCTAAAATGGTTAGATATACACGGCAACTATATTGAAGCTTTGGGTAATTACTATAAACTACAGGAGGAGATACGTGTCACCACACTCGACGCCAGTCATAATCGCATTACAGAAGTCGGTGCCATGTCAGTGCCAAACTCCATTGAACTGCTCTTCATCAATAACAATATTATTAACCAAATACAAGCCAACACCTTCGTCGACAAAACGCGTCTGGCGCGCGTCGACTTGTATGCTAATGTACTATCGAAAATTTCCTTGAATTCGCTTCGCGTAGCGCCCGTTGCTGCTGATAAGCAAGTACCTGAGTTTTATCTTGGCGGCAATCCATTCGAATGCGACTGCTCAATGGAATGGTTGCAACGCATTAACAATATGACCACCCGCCAGCATCCAAAAATCATCGACTTAGGCAATATCGAGTGTCTAATGCCGCACAGTCGCAATGCGCCCATACGTCAATTGTCTTCGCTTAGCAGCAGCGACTTTGTCTGCAAATATGAATCGCACTGCCCCGCTACTTGCCACTGCTGTGATTTCGAACAATGCGACTGCGAAATGGTTTGTCCTGACAATTGTACCTGTTTTCACGATGCTACCTGGTCGACAAACATCGTCGACTGTGGGAAACAAAATCGTATTAGTCTGCCAGCACGCATTCCCAACGATGTTACTGATTTGTATTTGGATGGCAATAATCTTCCTGTGCTCGACGCTCATGTCTTGGCTGGGAAACGCAATTTGCGTGCACTCTACCTGAATGCGTCTAATGTTATGTCTCTGCAGAATGGCACCTTCGGAGATCTGAGCATGCTGCGCACCTTACACATGGAAAACAATAAATTGCAATCCTTGGCAGGCATAGAGTTCGCACAATTGACATTATTGAAAGAATTGTACTTGCACAATAATCTACTGAGTCACATATCGAATGCCACATTTACACCTCTGGTCTCGTTGAAAGTCTTGCGACTCGACAATAATCGACTGAGTGCCATGCCCATTGCGCAACTAGCAAATTTGCAGTATCGTAACAATCTACAGGGTTTGACTATTGGACGCAATGCTTGGTCCTGTCGTTGTCAGTTCTTGCAAGAGTTGGCACAATTCGTTTCCGATAATGCTATGGTTGTGCGTGATGCACATGACATCTACTGTGTGGATGCAGGCGTGAAGCGCGAACTAGATTTGACTACTACGAACAGCGTGGACTGCAGCGAATTGTTGGAGGCAGCAAGTAATATGGCATCACAAGATTTGGCAGGTGGTTATGTACCACTCCTGGCAGCTGTGTTGGTGTTGATCTTCCTAATTGTTGTGCTAATCATTGTGTTTGTCTTCCGTGAGTCTGTGCGCATGTGGCTCTTTGCACATTATGGCGTACGCGTCTGTGAACCACGTTTTGAAGATGCAGGCAAACTTTACGATGCTATTATTTTACACTCAGCCAAAGACTATGAATTCGTGTGCCGTAATATAGCAGCTGAACTAGAGCATGGCCGTCCACCTTTCCGTCTATGCATACAGCAACGTGATCTGCCACCAGAAGCTAGTCATTTGCAAATTGTGGAAGCTGCACGCGCTTCACGTAAAATCATACTTGTGCTTACCCGCAATCTGCTAACCACAGAATGGCAACGTACTGAATTCCGCAATGCATTCCATGAATCTCTACGAGGTCTAGCACAAAAGCTCGTCATCATCGAAGAAACAAATGTCTCTAGCGAAGCTGAAGATGTAGCCGAACTAGCGCCATATCTAAAATCTGTGCCATCAAATCGTCTATTGACTTGTGATCGTTACTTCTGGGAAAAACTGCGCTATGCCATACCAATTGAGTTGTCACCACGCGGTAACAACTATACATTGGATCATCATGAACGCTTCAAGCAACCAGTTTCACCAGGTGTCATCTTTCGTCAAGCACCACCGCCACCCGCCTACTATCAAGAAGATATGGAAGCTAACTATTCTTCAGCCACTACCGCCACACCATCGCCACGCCCTAATCGTCATGGTGCACGCGTTGATGCCATACCTATGCGCCCACCCTCCGAACATATCTATCATAGCATCGAATCGGAATATAGCGCCTATGAACAACAGGAGGCGCTTTCGATGATACCAAACGGTGGTAGTGCTGCCAATTTCATGCAACATCCAGCGGCACATCATTCTCATCATCATTTACAACAGCAACAACAACTGTTAGCACCAGTCATGGGCAGTTACCGCAACCACGCACAAAACAACCCTCGTGGTGCGGGGCACCACTCCGCAGCGTTACTGCAACATCAGCAACAACAACAACAGCAGCAGCAGCAACAGCATTGGCGACCAGCGATGTGTGTCACACAACAAACGAATGCGAATTCCTTGCTAAACACCAATCAGCAACAAGCTGGTGCGCCAATACATTTGCGCACGGGCAGCAACCTGAGCCAGGCTAGCACAAGCACACAATCTACTTCAGCGGCAGCCCAAACACCACAACCACAAGCTTCAACATCCGCAGCAGCAGCAGCGGCCGCCGCTGCCGCTATTACAGCAGCTGCCAACAATTCAGGTGCGAACACAAATGAGGGTATAATAGCAACTGGAATCGCAACAACAACACCAACGAACGCATCGAACACAACAACAGCAACAAACAAGAACAATGGCCAAGCATTCTTAGTCTAAATGCTAAGTGCTAAGCTTTAAGTTTGTGTTTGGTGTTGTTGTAGTTGTAGTTGTTGTTATTGTTATTATTGTAATTGTTCCTGGTTCCCCCTTGCTGGCTGGCATGCTTTCGCAGTGCTGTTGTTATTGTCAAGTCTTTGTTATGTTATTGCCGTAAGTACGTAGCAGCCATTTACGACGCCATCTTAACTCTTCAAACAAAATAATATAAAACAAAAGCACAAAAGCATAAGCATAAAAGCAACAACACAACGCAAGAACATAAAAGCAGCAAAAGCAGCAGAAGCAGAAGAAGTAGCAGAAGTTTTATGTGTTAAGCATAACACGCAAGAGTACACACATGCAGCAAGTAATGCCACACTGTTGTTGCTGTCTTTTGTTGTTGTTGTTTTATATTCCATTAATTTGACATTAATATTAAAAATTAAAAATTTAAACAAAATTAACTAAGTATGAAATGCAAAAAAAGACTTTCCATAGGATAGCGACTTCTTCATATATATATGATTTGTATATGTGTGTTTAGATGTCTCTGTGTGCGTGTTACGTGTGTAGTTTCCTACGTATAAACACTTTTCAAATTCAATGTGATATTAAATAATTTTTAATTGTATGTATGTAAACTTTTTGTTGTCACTGTAAATTATATATAAATATATACGAAAACAAAAAAATAAGATAAAACTAATTAATATTAAAAAATTAACGTTAGACTAGTAAATTTATGACTATTTAAAAATATTAAATATTTATAGGTGTTAATTAAAAATAAAACAAAAACAAAAAAAAACAAATGTAATAAAAGCACATATTTCATTGTAAATAAACAAATTAGCGGATTTATGTATTAACTTGTATGAATGTATGTAAATTAGTAAAACGACTAAGCAAAGCAGAATGGCTAATTTATTAACTATTTCTGGCAGAACTACTAAAAATAAAATATATTAACTAAAAAGTAAAAACAAAAACAAAAAAAGCGACAAAAAATTACTTAAATTAAATTTTAAGTGGACTGATAGTTTCTTATAGCGAAATCCTACTGAAGTATATAATTAAATATTCTAGAATTTGCAAATTGTTAATTATTTTCCATTTAAAATTTTAGCGAAAATGTTTACTAATTCAAAAAAAAAAAAAAAGCAGAAAAATATAAACACAAATGATTTTAATAATTATTATATAAAATTATATGAAATTTTTATATTTTTGTAGCGTCTTTACAAAATCTACTAAACTTTTGACTACACTGGAAAAAAACACAATTTAAACTAAAAGTTTTGAGCTCAAAATTGTACATAAAAAAAACCTACTTTTGTGAAGTTTTTTTTTTTATCTGTATAAACTGATTATTTAAAGAATTATGTGTATGTAAATTTCTGTTTTATATTTATACTTTAGCTAATTTAATTAAATTTAAAAAAAACAACAAAAAAAAAAGAACCATTTTTTTTCGAAATTTTAAAAGTTAAAAAAATTGAATTAAAATTTAAAACAAAATTCAAAAATTGTAAAATAGCAAAAAATTTATTCCTAAGCAGATGTAATTAATTAATTAATTAATTATCTATTAATTATATATGTATAGTTAATAAGTGATAATAAATATAGATATATATATATATGAATATAGTATATAAAAAAATTCTTATAATGAATTCGCATAGTTATTAAAAAATTAAATAAATTTATTTAATGCAAATTACTTAGCAAAAGCGATACCAATAAAAAATAAATAAAAAATCTAAAAAAAAATAATAAAAAATTCGAAAATAAAAATAATTTTCATATTAAAAAAAAAAATTACATGTGTTTTTTGTTTTTGTATTAAAATTGTTTTTGCTTCAAAGCCCATTGACAACGGGAAGTTCCCTCTACTCTTTCCAAATTTGCACAACAAAAATTATGGTTGTTGTATTAATTTGCACATTGACATTTGTTGTTGTTGTTGTGGTTAACTGTTCTCTTGTCTAAATTTGGTTGTCTAAACGTTTGATTAAAAAATAAACACAAAAAAACAAACAAAAAAAACGAACGATCTTAAGGCGACTAAACGACAACAAAGACTTTCTACTTAAAAATCATTTCATTCAGGGCATTTATAAGGGAAATTAATTGATTTGGAATTAATGGGGCTAATTTTAGAGTTACCAACTTTTAAATGATTGGAGCACTGGGAACGAAGAGAGTGAAAATGTATTTATTGCGGATTGTGTTAAATGTGTAGCCAATCAACAACGGAAGTTTAAGAAATTTGTTGAAAGCTTAATATAAAATATATAGAAAAAAAAAATATTTTAATTAAATTAATTAAAAATCATTAATAATATAAACAGTTGTCTATATGTTATTAATGTAATTAATAAAAAAATAAACTTTGATTTATTTGAACACTTTGAAAGTAACTATAGAAGAAGTCCAAAAAAGTTCACTTGTCAATGACACGAGGTCTCATTTTCAATGATATAATTAAAATTGAAAATTAATATAAGTTTCGAAATTAAATTAATTAAAAATACATATACATATGTTATCTTCATATTATTAAACATATTTAGATCATTTTAATGACTTTAGTTGCCAAAGAATTTAATTATAAGCAAGTTCAAAGGAGGTTCTGTTGTTGACGAAATGATTGAAACAGAAAATGAATATATCTTTCTTAATGTTAATAGAAAAGCTATGTAATATATTCATAATTATAATTATAATATATATAAATATATATGTTTTCTTGTTTAGACGCTGACCGGCCATGGATACTTTTGCAAGTAACTTTATCATATAAGAAAGGCGGAACTACCTTCCCGTATGTATGGCAATGAAAACTATGGCGATGCCGTGCGGAATGACCCAACAACTCCCAAAAATATAGTTGAAAAGATGAGAGCGAACCCAGAGAAGTAGCTAATGATAGAGTCATATGTGATTAAAGTCCTAAAATCGAAGAAATTAGACCTAGAACGAAGAAGCAAAGGGCTTATAAATAGGGCAGATAAAATATGTGGCAAAAAAGTTGAGATCTTGACGCAGATCGTCGATCAAAGAGCATTGTTTAAAATGCTAATTTAAAATTGACTCCCCGAAACTGCATGCGGGCTCCTGGTTCTTCTACTGAAAATGTGAAAGATCTTTATCGCTTTTCAACTAGCGTTTACCGAATCAATTACTTTCATAGCTGGAGTATAATTGCCCATATTTATGACGTGATTGAACCAGAGAGGTCGCTTAATATTCAGTTCGTCAAGTTTTCCCTTCTGGTTATGTAGATGCTTATTTACTAACTGTTGTCCTTCTCTCCTAGTGAAGCATAGGGCCTCAAGCGCTGCAACTACACTCTTTCATTTTACTATGTGCGCGCCAAATTAAACACTTAAGCTAGATCTATGTGCATGGATCTAAATATGGAGGATCAGCAAAAAAATAGGGAAATAGCGTAGAGTCTTAGTTAGTGTATTGAATGCATGATGTTCTATAATGTGAATATCTTTTCTCTGCGTCTCACAGCATTAAATGGTTATTCGTAGATGTTTCGTAGATTATTTATTATTAATATTAGAGTAGATTATTATTATGTTGAGGCTAGTTGAATCAGTGCACATGAGCACTTTTATTTTCTATTAACAGAGATTTCTTCATAACGCCTCTCTACGCCTTGACTGGTTTATTGTTTATCACTTCATTAGACTAAGCAACAATTGATTTCAGATCTTCATACCTCCCCGAGGAGCCTGTAACCATTCTGAGATTTTCAGTAGATGCTATTATAGTACGATCGAAAATATATGTTCGGCTGAATATATAAATTTTTAAATTCTGAAATTTGGTATTTGGAATATAAAGTTTTTTTCTTTATATTCCTCTAACATACTTATGTATTAATATAAGTTTAAAGCGTATATATTAATGTACTTTATTTTTCAAAAATTCATATCAATTTTTGATGTTATTTAATTACGGGAATATATTTCCTATTTTTTTTTTTTTAAATTCCAATCCAAATGTTCAAACTTTTTAATGAATTACAACATTTCATTGCTGTTCGAAAATTATAAATATCTATTAAAATTATGTTTGTATTTAATAAATCCAACAAAATTCAATAATTAAGACTAATGTCTATATTAGATTTTTGCTAATGAATGCAATATTTCATTTAATCAAAATTATGTCTCAACAAATGGAGCAAAACCGACTTGAAATGTAATTTTAATTAAAACAAATTGAACTGAAATGTGAATTCTCTCTAAAATTTGATAATTCAAGATTTGTTAATTATTGAAAATCTAAAATAAATTACACTGATTTATAAATTACTGAATAATTTTGTTAATACGAGGAGACGAGACCTACTATCAGCAGAGCGAATGTGGATCAGAGTTCAATCTCAAGTCCAATGCAATCAAAATTATCACTTCAATAGAACCAGCTGAGTATTGTGAAATAAGTGGAATTGCACAAAATTAAATTAGGAAAAAAATTAAAATTGTTTTAATTTTATATAATTAAGCTAAGTTACTAATGCATTTACATATATGGTATATGGTATGCAATTTATACGCTTTAAGTAATTATTTTTGAAATGTATTTCGAATGTGGACATACGAGTAAAAAGCGCAAACCGACACCACAATTATTTCAACTAAGTTTTAATCATTATTTATTAGATAAATCTATTCTAGTTGTGTACGATATGTGAATGTATGTATGTATGTAATTAAATTTAGTTTCCAAAGTAGCTCAAGTGCAGTTTCGGTTTGTTTTGGAAACATGAAAGCTTCTAAGTTCACATGAAATACCATCGATTTTCTATTATTTAACTTCGTTTTGCATGTAAATTCGCTGTTGCCGAGCTGACACAGTAAAATACAATGGAATTCTTAAATAATTATTATTTATTATAGTTGATATATGTACTCGTATATTTTTTATTTAAAGTCAACTATATTAAAATACCTACCCATAACAGCAGCAACGAAACTAATTAACCCAAAATGCGACCAAAAGCAATTCAGTGCCATTTCGCTAAGAATTCTGTGGCTCCTGTGGTCTCAGAGGAAATTGCATCAAATAAAAAATTTATAATTTTTCACTTATGAATAGTTGAAGAGACTCACTTGTGGAATTCCAGTTACCAGTAACCAACCAACCAACCAGTTACTGCCAGCCCAAGAATAATAAGCTCTTGATTATTTTTGCATTTCTGCATTACACATTTCAGGACTTAAAATTTTTCTGTAGTTAAGATTTAAAGTCCTTTGTATTATTTTTAGTTGAGTAATGAAATTTCAAAGGCAATGTCATATTCTCTGTTTAATTTCAACCACACTCATTAGCAATTAAAAATAAATTTAGAACTAAGAATGTTAGTTTCGAATAATAAAATTTTACAAGGAGCATTTCATATGAGTAATAATATTTGTAGAGACTTCTAATGACAGCATTATGTGGTATAAATGCAGAAATCTTGAAAGGAATGATTACTAAAAGGATCTATAAAAGGAGCATTTTATATCAGAAATACGATTTTGTAGTTACTCTTATGACAGCATAGGCTCACTGCATAATAAGTATGACTGCTATGAGACTGGGTTTACCACGTAATGACTTTTGTCGTGCTTGTGGCTCTGTGGATGAAGAGGAAATTGTGCTCCATCTCCATTCAATATGTAGCCAGAAAGAGATCAAAAATTTTTGGGTACTTTTTCTTACCGATCTGATTGAGTTACCATCCTGCAAAATTTAGAACTTATCCAACTTTATAGAATTGTTAGGTTGGTTCAGTTTTACCTACGGGTGCAGTCATTGCCTTTCGTCGTTGGGCGTGTGCTGACCTGTATTCTATGTAATATCAAAAGCCAATCCTGTGGTACCACAATGGGCTATTATTTCAGTTCAAGTAGACTTTTTTGTGTACAAACCCGTCACTTCAAACCTTACCTAACCTGTGAATAATAATATGTAAATGTAAACATTTTGTAAGGAAAGATCGCTAAAATTCCTCATAAAAGCAGTATTTTATATGAGAAATACGATTTGTACATACTTCTAATGACAGCATTATGTGGTATAAATGTAGAAATTTTGAAAGGAAAGTTTACTAAAAGTACCTATAAAAT